AAAATGTCATTTTTAGACATTTCTCGTAATTTTTTTTTTTTTCATATTTTTGTGCCAAATCCTTCTAAATGGAAATTGGTAACCCTCTGGGTGGCTGTAGGTGCAGCTGCTGCGACCATGGCTATCTCAGTGCCAGCCAAGTGTCAAAAGGAAGATGAGGTGTGCCGCTCTGAGTGACCACAGCAGACCCTTGGGATGTGTAATTTTGTCTTATATTGTAAAAATTTTTTACATAATGCCTTGCCTAAAGAGACAGCATTTGTGTACAATCAGCAAGAAGCTCAGGAAGCAATTAGAAACTATGAAAAAAGCTAGAGAAGTGAAGAAGGCAGCAGCATAGAGTGGGGCAGCTGGCTGCCACCACCATGACCACCACTGTGGATGCCGCCACCACCACCATCACTGGCCACAGTGATCATGTCTTCACCCATATATACATCTGTCTTGACCACACCTGTGGTTACATTTACGGCAACCTCACCACTAATCATAACTAGGTGTGGGGTTATGGACTGGGAAGATACTCGAGTGGGAGAGTAAACGGCAGATGCTTTAGCCGCTGCCGGTGTCGCCATCACTTGCCATATTATGGCCTATTTTATTCATTCTAGAGTATATATTATGTTTCTATGTTATTAATATTGTTTATGTCATATTAGATGAATTGTGATAGATAACTAAGCCGTAGAGTTGATATTAGCATTATTTTGTCGTACCTACTGAGAGGCTGGAATGAATTAATTGCATTTCGATTACATGAGGAAAATTGACTCGCCATATGAACAAATTAGGATACGAACGAGGTCATGGAATGGATTAATTTTGTAAGCCGAGGTTCCACTGTACGTATTATTATTATTAACAATAATTTAGGTAACTGGAGCACAGATCCAATTCCCTAGATCAAGAGCCCCTCACCAGTGTCAAGGAACCTTCATGCTGGTGAGGGGCTCTTGACCAAAGGAATTGGATCTGTGCTCTAGTTACCTAAATTAATATAATAATAATAAATTATTATTATTATTATTATTATTTTAATGAACGCCGTCAACTCAGTGCACTGTTTACCCCGCTGTGGGAGCAGTTCTCTCGTGCTTTGCTTATGTTTTTGACAGTCATTTGGCCAAATTTCGTTTTTCTAAGCATGGGTCCTAAGAAAGTAAGTGCAAAGGACAATCCTGAGAAGAAAAGGAGGATGATTTCCATGGAATTAAAACATGAAATCATCGATAAACAATGAGGTGTCCAGGTTTTGCATTGATGGGGAAGCAGGGGGAGCTGGTTCATAACTCAAATGTTGGCTCGTAACTCAGAGCAAAAAATCTCACAAAACTCGTACATTGGGACACTCGTAAGTCAGGGTTCCACTGTACGACGTAAGGGTGCACCATATAAAACAAATCCTACAGCACACAGTGCATAATGAGAAAAAAAACCCATGACTGTGTTTTTGGATTAAAACAACTACAGTGGACCCCCGCATAACGATTTTAATCCGTGCAAGAGGGGTAATTGTTATGCGAAATAATCGGTATGTGAATGAATTTTCCCCATAAGAAATAATGGAAATCAAATTAATCCGTGCAAGACACCCAAAAGTATGAAAAAATTTTTTTTACCACATGAAATATACATTTTCCCACACACAAAGAGAAAGATACATGCACAATAGTAGAGTAGTACATGCACAGTATATATTGTGCATGTACTAGTCTACTAAATGAAGAATAAAGGGGACACTTACCTTTATTGAAGATGCAGCAATGATGATGAGAACTGTGTCCTGGGAGTGCCTTTTCCTCCTGAGTACTGTAGGTCCTGTTTGCATTTTCTTCCAGAACAGGCCTTATCACACTGTGTATGCCACTACGATTCTTAAATCTCTCAAACCAACCTTTGCTGGCTTAAATTCACCAATATGAGCACTAGTTCCAGGCTTTTTTCCCTGTTCACCTGGTGTTAGCCCGACTTGTGTGGGTTGCATCCTGGGAGACAAGATTAAGGACCGCAAGGGAATTAAGTTAGACAGTTTTCGATGACACTGACTTTTTTGGGTTACCCTGGGTGGCAAATCCTCTGGGGTTAATTCTTGGTATTCTCAATAAGCCACACCAACAACGGTGCTACAGCAGAGCAGCAGCTGACAGTGGTACAGCACAACAGACGATGCTACAGCAGCAGCAGACGATGCTACAGCAGCAGCAGACGATGCTACAGCAGCACAGACGATGCTACAGCCGCAGCAGCAGCTGACGGTGGTACAGCAGCAACAGACGATGCTACAGCAGCAACAGACGATGTTACAGCAGCAGCAGACGATGCTACAGCAGCAGCAGCAGCTGACGGTGGTACAGCAGCAACAGACGACGCTACGCAGCAACAGACGATGTTACAGCAGCAGCAAAACGATGCTACAGCAGCAGCAGCAGCTGACGGTGGTACAGCAGCAACAGACGACGCTACAGCAGCAACAGACGATTTTACAGCAGCAGCAGACGATGCTACAGCAGCAGCAGCAGCTGACAGTGCGCACCCAGCACCAGCTGACAGTGCAGCAGCAGCAGCAGCAGCAGCTGTACCCCCAATAGTAGCGATGGTGATTGGGGTTTATTATACAAACCTGGCCAGCTCGGAGAACGCACTCCACTTTCATACTTATCAATGATCTTTTTCTTCATCTCTATTGTAATTCTACCCTTATTGCTTGTAGGGTTGGCATAAAAGATTTCTTGGGGCCCATGGTCACTTATTTTCCAGAAAAAGCACCGAAAACACTGTAATAATACGAAATATTCCGATTGTATGCTTGGATGTTACCGCGGAGGCTGGCTGGTAAACAATGCCACCGGCGGAATATGTGAGCGTGGCTCAGGCCGCACATTGGACGCGTCTCAGACGAAAATCGGTGAGCGGGTTTTTAAGCGGTATGTGAGGCAAAATTTTTGCGATTAAAGCAAGCGGTATGCGGATTAATCGCTATGTGATGCCATCGGTATGCGGGGGTCCACTGTACTTTGCAGTTTTCTTGGTCTCATTTGATAGAATGGAAGATATATTACAGAAATAGAGATGATTTTGATTGATTTTAATGCTGAAAATAGCTTGAAACTGAGCTCAAAGTAGTGGAAATGTTCGATTTTTGCCGATGTTCAAGAGTAAACAAATGACGTCACATGTCCAATACATGTCAGCTGGTGGGTCTAATGCACATTCACAAATGTGCTGATATTATTTATACAATTATTACAATATTGCATAACATTAAATCTTCTATTTTTTGGTGTAAATAAAAAATCAAAATGGAATTCATTTGTAAAGCCTGGAAACATAACTAATAAACAGAAGAAATGTTATTTTAGTGCCAGGATTCCCTGCACTGTTTATTCTGGACCCTATTTTAAAACTTGAATATTTTGAACTTTGTGTGAAATTGGCCAAATAACCAATTTCTGATCACTTTATTGAGTTTAAATAATTGATTGGGTGATTTCTTGTGCTCAGTCAATAGAATAGAATTAATACTAGCACAATAACTAAAAATATGGTCAACTGGAATAATGTAATTGACCTAAAATGGGAGTCAGGGTGGGCAAAATCACCAATGCGTAAATATTGCTGATGCAGCAAAATTTGTGAGAGCGTAATTTCGTAAATTTTCCATCAAATTTCATACTTTTTATTTTATTACCTTTAGGAAAAGATTCTCTTACCATTTCATAAGGAAAAATAACAAAAGTTTTTTTTGAAAGTTCTTGGATCCTGTGGACAATTTTCAGATCAGGGATCTGAAAGGGTTAATGTTAGTCAGCATACTGAAAGAAACATTCAGGTGAGTCAGTATACCAGAAGTAACATTCAGGTGAGTCAATATACCAGAAGTAACATTCAGGTGAGTCAGTATACCAGAAGTAACATTTAGGTGAGTCAAAAACCAGAAGTAACATTCAGGTGAGTCAGTATACCAGAAGTAACATTCAGGTGAGTCAGTGTACCAGAAGTAACATTCAGGTGAGTCAATATACCAGAAGTAACATTCAGGTGAGTCAGTATACCAGAAGTAACATTCAGGTGATTTAGTGTACCAGAAGTAACATTCAGGTGAGTCAATATACCAGAAGTAACATTCAGGTGAGTCAGTATACCAGAAGTAACATTCAGGTGAGTCAGTGTACCAGAAGTAACATTCAGGTGAGTCAGTGTACCAGAAGTAACATTCAGGTGAGTCAGTATACCAGAAGTAACATTCAGGTGAGTCAGTGTACCAGAAGTAACATTCAGGTGAGTCAGTATACCAGAAGTAACATTCAGGTGAGTCAATATCCCAGAAGTAACATTCAGGTGAGTCAACATATCAGAAGTAACATTCACGTGAGTCAACATACCGAAAGTAACATTCACATGAGTCATGCTGAAAGTAACATTCAGGTGAGTCATCATACCAGAAGTAACATTCATGCAAGTATTAATGTTTTGCTTACTTGAGTGTTAATGATCAGTGAGTATGTTGTTATAAAGGTGCTCCTTGACTTATGATGGTTCGACTTATGATGGTTCGACTTATGATGGTTCAACTTTACAATGGTGCAAAAGCAGTTACTTTGGAGATGAAACTTAAGATAATTACCCAGCATGAAGGTGACAAGTCTGTAACTTGTATTCATTTATTCTCTATTTACTTTTCAATACTGGTATTTAGTTGCTGTAATTATATTTGTTTATTTATTCAGTGACAGTTATTTATTTAGTTAGCATATCATGTTCGACTTGTGATGGGTTTATTGGAACTTAACACCATTATTGGAACTTAACACCATTATTGGAACTTAACACCATTATTGGAACTTAACACCATTATTGGAACTTAACACCATTATTGGAACTTAACACCATTATTGGAACTTAACACCATTATAAGTCAAGGAGCACCTGTATTTCACACATGTTAGATCATCATTGATGTTCAATTATATAAGAACTACAGGTTAATTTTTGTTCTTCAGCATGGGTGTGGTAGAACATCAAGGATTGATCTACATTGTTGGTGGGTGTACACACAGCCAGCGTCACCTGCACGACCTTCTCTGTTATAACCCAGTGACGGGAGAGTGGCAGAACCTGGCACCCATGTTGACACCACGGAGCCAGATGGGAGTAGCTGTACTTGATGGCTTCTTGTATGTGGTTGGTGGCACTAACAGACATAATGTTCTCACCTCTGTGGAACGATACTCCTTTGAACAGGTCAGTTCTTGTTATATACTGCTACAAGATAGTAAAGTTCAACCAGGTCAGTTCTTGTTATATACTGCTACAAGATAGTAAAGTTCAACCAGGTCAGTTCTTGTTATATACTGCTACAAGATAGTAAAGTTCAACCAGGTCAGTTCTTGTTCTACTAAACACTTGTACTAGTAAACACTTGTACTACCAAGATGCACTTACACTACTACTAAACACTTGTACTTTGCACTAGGACAAATGGTTTGAGTGCCCAGCAATGTCAGTGGGCAGAGCGAGTCCTGCCGTGGCTGCCACTAACTCTCTTCTCTATGTCATCGGTGGAGACCAGACCAGCGAAGTTAATGACTTCTATAGAGCTCAGGTAATGTGAAATTTATGACTTTATAGAGCTCAGGTAATGTGAAATTAATGACTTCTATAGAGCTCAGGTAATGTGAGGTTAGCCAAGGCCAGGCAGGAGGTCTGTAAGTGTTGGTGGGAAAGTGTTGATGAGTGTGTGTGTATGTTAGTGGTTGAGTGTTGATGGGAAAGTGTTGGTGGGAGTGTTGTTGGGAGGGAGTTGTTGGGAGGGTGTTGATGGGAGAGTGTTGATGGGAGAATGTTGATGGGAGAGTGTTGATGGAGAGTGTTGATGGGAGAGTGTTGATGGAAAAGTATTGGTAGGAAAGTGTTGGTGGGAGTGTTGTTGGGAGGGTGTTGATGGGAAATGTTGAGGGAGAGTGTTGGTGGACAGTGTTGGTGGAAAAGTGTTGGCTGGAAAGTGTTGGTGGAAAAGTGTTGGTAGGAAAATGTTGGTGGAACAGTGTTGATGGGAAAGTGTTGGTGGGAAAGTGTTGATGGGAGAGTGTTGATGGGAGAGTGTTGGTGGGAGAGTGTTGATGGGAGAGTGTTGGTGGGAGAGTACTCGCCTATTTGTACTCACCTATTTGTGGTTGCAGGGGTTGAGACTCAGCTCCTGGCCCCGCCTCTTCACTGACCGCTACCGGATCCTCCCAGTCCCTGCTCCATGAGCTTTATCATACCTCGTCTTAAAACTATGTATGGTTCCTGCCTCCATTACATCACTTGCCAGACTGTTCCACTTCCTAACAACTGTGTCTGAAGAAATACTTCCTAACATGGCTCTGGTGGCCTGGTGGTTAACGCTCTCACTTCACACGGTGAGGGCCTGGGTTCGATTCCCAGCCAGAGTAGAAACATTGCACGTGTTTCTTTCCACCTGTTGTCTATGTTCCCCATCAGTAAAATGGGTACCTGGGTGTTAGTCGACTGGTGTGGGTCGCATCCTGGGACACTGACCTAAGGAGGCCTGGTCACAGACAGGGCCGCGGGGGCGTTGACCCCCGGAACTCTCTCCAGGTAAACTCCAGGTAAACATCCCTTTGACTCATCTGAGTCTTCAATTTCCAATTGTGACCCCTTGTTTCTGTGGCCCATCTCTGAAACATCCTGTCTCTGTCTACCTTATCTATTCCACACAGTATTTTGTATGTCATTATCATGTCTCCCCTGACCCTCCTGTCCTCCAGTGTCGTCAGGCCGATTTCCCTTAACCTTTCTTCGTGGGACGTTCTCCTTAGCTCTGGAACCAGCCTTGTTGCAAACATTTGCACTTTCTCTAATTTCTTGATGTGCTTGACCATGTGTAGGTTCCAGACAGGTGCTGCGTACTCCGGTATGGGCCTGACGTACACAGTGTACAGAGTCTTGAACGATCCCTTACTGAGGTATCGGAATGCTATTTTCAGTTTTGCCTGGCCCCCATATGCTGCAGCAGTTATCTGGTTAATGCATGCTTCTGGAGACATGCTTGGTATTATACTCATCCCTAGATCTTTCTCCTTGAGTAAGGTTTGCAGTCTTTGGCCACCTAGCCTGTACTCTGTCTGCAGTCTTCTTTGTCTTTCCCCATTCTTTATAACTTTGCATTTGGAGGGGTTAAATTCTAGGATCCAGTTGCTGGACCATGCGTCCAGCCTGTCCAGGTCTCTTTGTAGTCCTGTCTGATCTGCATCTTATTCAATTCTCCTCATTAACTTCACATCATTTGCAAACAGGGACACTTCTGAGTCTATCCCTTTCATCATGTCATTCACATAGTATACCAAAAATAGCACTGGTCCCAGGACTGACCCCTGTGGGACCCCACTCACCACAGGTGCCCACTGTGATACCTTATCATGTACCATGACTTGCTGTTGCCTCCCTGTCAGGTATTCTCTGATCCATTGCAGTGCCCTTCCTGTTATATGTGCCTGATCCTCTAGCTTCTGCACTAATCTCTTGTGAGGAACTGTGTTGTAGGCCTTCTTGCAGTTCAAGAAAATGCAATCAACTCACCCCTCCCTCTCATGTCTTACTTCAGTTACCTTGTCTTAAAACTCCAGTAGGTTTGTGACACAGGATTTGCCCTCCATGAATCTGTGCTGGCTGTCGTTTATAATCTTGTTCCCCTCTGTTTATTCAATCACTCTCCTCCTGATAATCTTCTCCATGACTTTGCATACTATACACATCAATGACACTAGCCTGTAGTTTAGTGCCTCATTTCTGTCTCCTTTCTTAAATCTCATGTTGAGCTCCTCACATACTTCTTGGTTGTTTCTTGTGAGCTCCCCACCTTCTTTCCTTAGCCTGACTACCTGGTTCCTCCTGATGTGGGTATAAAGCAGTTTCAGGTCAGACTTAACTTTCGATTCCATATCGTTTTCGTACTGCTGCTGGGCCTCCCTTCATATTTGTGCATACTCATTTCTAGCTCATCGACTAATCTCTCTATTTTCCTGGGTCCTTTACCTTCTGTACTTTTTCCATTCTCTAGTGCTTAGATTTTGCCTCTCTACACCTTTGGGTAAACCAAGGGTTCTTTCTGGTTTTCCCATTTTTTCTGTTACCCTTGGGAACAAACCTTTCCTCTGCCTCCTTGCATTTTGTTGTTACATAGTCCATCGTTTTGTTTACTGACTTTCCTACCAACTCTCTCTCTCTCACTGAACCTCCTGCAGGAAGGTCCTCATACCTGTGTAGTCCCCCATTATATACAGGTACCATCTGACTTACGACCGAGCTTGGTTCCAAAAATGCACATAAAATGCACATAAAAGGCCCTAAAATCTGGAATTCATTACCTGTAAATATAAAAGAAACACAACCTGTTTATAAATTCAAGTCTCTTCTCAAAGATCACTTACTCACCCAAAACCAAATAAATACTGAATAACTGAACCTTATAAATTGTATATCTTAAATGTTTCTCACAATTATATCACATAAATGTTAAACCTAAAACCGAATCTAACTTTATTATTTTTTTAAATACACTACCTAACAGAATCACTACCTAACTGAATGCAACCATATGACCTGTCTTTGTAATACTCACTTGTGCTTTATAGTAATCTGTTTACATTAATGTTTTATCACTGATTTCATCATTGCTTAGTTAATCTTAAGTTAATTTTAAGCCAGCCCGTAATGCTATGCATAGTATAAGTGGCTTTGGCATACTGCTCTTATCTGTATTTTTTTTTTTTGTACCTCTGTAAGTGTGCTCAAATTGAAAATAAATAAATAAATAAATAAATAAATAAACCAACCGGTCGTAAGCTGAAATGGATGTAAGTGGAACCTTACTACTGAATATCAACATCACATTTTTGCAATGACTTTATTTATTGTTTTATTTTGGTATTTCATTTTTACTTCACTTTTTATGCTGTTAGTACTGTATTTTATACTGTAAGGTTTAGGATAAACATTGTGTACAATACAAACAGTTGTTTATTTCCCAGAAATTTGGCATACAAAACATGGTCGTAAGTCGAGTGGACATATGTCGAGCAGGTCATAAGTCGGATGGTAGGTGTAGTTTGGCTTTTCCCTTTCTACTGTTGCCCTCTGCACTTACAGTTCTACAATGTATTCAAAGCTCAGAACCACGTGGTCACTAGCTCCAAGGGGCCTTTCAGATGTGATGTCTTCAGTGTCTGATCTACTCAGGGTGAGCACAAAGTCCAGTCTTGCTGGTTCTTCCTCCCCTCTCTCTCTCTGGTAGTGTCCCTGACATGTTGATACATGAGGTTTTCCAGTACCCCATCCATCATTTTGTCTCTCCATGTTTCGGGACCCCCATGTGGCTCCAGATTTTCCCAATCAATCTCTCTGTGGTTGAAATTCGCCCATAACCAGTAACTTTGCTCTACTTGAGTGAGCTCTTCTGACCACCTCAGCTAGTGTATCCACCATTGTTCTGTTGCTCTCATCATATTCCTCTCTTGGCCTCCTGCAGTTCTGTGGCAGGTTATACATCACTGCAATGACTACCTTGTGTTCCCCTGACTGAATTGTACCTTGTATGCAATCTCTTTCTCCAGTCTCGTCCATTCCTTCCATTTCCGGATATCACCATTGGGTTTTAATGAACAGTGCAACCCCTCCTCCCCCTCTGCTCCTACTACCCTTCCTCAGGATCTGATATCCAGGTGGGAAGATTGCGTGTGTTATTGTCCCAGTGAGTTTTGTTTCTGTGACTGTTATGATGTCTGGGGGACATCTCCTTGATTCTTTCATGTCACTCCTCACATTTATTCATTATTCCATCCACGTTCGTGTACCAAACCTTCAACTTCTTTTCTAAAACTGTGGTCTGGGAAGAATGGTTAGTTTGGGGGAGCAGGTGCCTGGTGGGGGTCTATAGGGGGTCACTGTGGGGGTGGGGTTTGTAGTGTGGAGAGTGGGGGCAGAGGGCCTATGGGGGTTACTGTGGGGGTGGGGTTTGTGGTGAGGGGATGGGGGCAGAGGCATACTAGTGTGGGTTTTTGGTTACTGGTGGGTGATTGGGGTTGTGGTTGGATCCGTGGGTGGTGTGGGGAGGTGTCTATACCTGAGTTGGTTCTCCTGTGGTCTCCTCTGGCTTGTTTTTGCAGGTGGACTCTTTCAGAGTCGTGTCGTGTTTTTTGTGTTGTTGTCGGTATACATGCGGTTGCTCTGTTTGTTTGATTCCTTCTGATGGGTGGTTGTGGTAGGAGGTGTGTTGCTACTTCCACATGGTACTGGTTCTTCACGGTGTGCTACTCTTACTCCTCCCATTCTTCTTTGCAGTGTTGCACCCTCTCTTTCAGTATCTTCCTTTCTTCTTGTGTTCTGTCTCGGTCAAGGTATACACTCCGGTACTCTGGTTTGTCCCTTAGATGCGCTTTCTGATGTAGGCTGGAATATTGCTGCACACTAACAGCACCTTTCAAGGCAGGTGAAATTGCTAAACCTAGAAAATGTACAGAGAGCCTTCACGGTGTGCATAACTGAGATAAAACCCCTCAATTACTCTCTCCCACCTGTATCCTGCCTGGAATGCAGGTGGGA